GTCTGTATACCAAACACTATACGTGTTGTAGCCATTAAATAAGCGCATTTAGTTTCATATTTGTTAAAATATTATAATGTTATTTTTTTACATCTATGTTAATTTTGAAAAGTGAACAGCATAAGTAAGATATGAGTCGAAATATATCGGTAGACATGGAATGGGTCAGACATGATTTTGACCACTTCATTAAGTTTTGTTTTGTAGAACGCCTTTCTTTAAAGTGAATTTCGTTATGTATAAATTGTATCTTAATTTTAATAATTTTTACCATCAACGAATTGCCTGGATTTAATAAATAAGAAGCAAATATAGCAGATGATATAATCATGACATGGAGGCGCCCGCGCGGTCACTTGCATTGCACATAAACTGGTGCGCATCTCAATATAAATTAACAGTAGGGGTTCAACCGAAACTCAGTGTATGCCTCAGACATGAGAAATATATAGAGAGCTTGAAATGTCTTTAAACGAAACAATTCAAAACGAAAAGAAATAGGCTACTCTCTGATTATGTAATTATAGCTTATGTATTTCTCTAGGCGCGTTCACTACGGAGATGGCGATCGTCAATTGCATATTTGCAGCAGACACAGTGACTTATACTTATTAATAAAACTGAATGCACGCATGTCACCGGATTTACAAATGCACATATTGTAGGCCTATAATACGCACACATATAATGTCGAAATAATGAGATATGTTGAAATAACATTATTAATAATAAGAAATATTTGGAATATTTGGTTGAATGCTGAATGTTGTGCTTGTTCAAATTAATACAATTAAAACTTTATAATTGAATAAATAAAATAATTGAATATTAAATATTGAGTGGCCAAGTTTTGCTAATTTATTAATAGTATTGATATAATATATATATATATATATATATATATATCATAATATATATAATTGCTCAGCTCCCCCTGTCAATGATCTAGCACCCTCTCAACACCTGTAAAAAAATTATCTGGCGCCGCCCCTGTTAGATATACACTACCCGTCAAAAGTTTTTGAACGGTAAGATATTTTTGAACAGTAATATTGTGAAATATTTATACAATTTAAAATATGAATATATTTTAAAATGTAGCCTAATTTATTCCTGCGATCAAAGCTGAATTTTCAGCATACTCCAGTCTTCAGTGTCTCATGATGATGATTTAATGCTGTTGAAAATTGTTGAAAACAATTGTGTACAATTTTGTTTTCAGGATTATTTGATGAATAGAAAGTTTAAAACAAAAGCATTTATCTGAAATTTTCCAGCACAGTAATATAAAATATATTTAAATAGAAAAGTTTAAATTGTATAAATTATAAATTGTGAAAAAGTTTCAATTGTAAAAATATTTCACAATATCACTGTTTTTGCTGTATTTTGAATCAAATATAAATGAAGCCTTGGTGAGCAGAAGAGACTTCTTTTAAAAACATTTTAAAATCGTACCGTTCAAAAAACGGTAGTGTAAATATATTGGCCGTTAGTGTGTAAATAAAAATAACATATTTTGAACATCAATGGCATTCTTTTTTACTAGCCCTTAGAGCCCATGCACATATTTTTTTTTTCTTTTTGCCTTGTTTTAGTGATCTCGCCTTAATTCTCTTTAAGTAATTCAACATTTTCTTCAATATTTAATGACGTGGAGAAGAAGGTATTCTGAGAAAACATGCTTAGTTTCATATGTTTTATCAATTTATTGTCAAAATATAGTTGTTGTTGTTTTTTGTTACAACAAAGGAAAAGAAAAGATAAGAAAAGCTAGGGGGGGGGAAATAGATATTAATTTATTGTGGTGCGACGTTGGAGTCACACGTTGGTGTCACGCGTCTGTGGTATGGCGTGCTGTGGTGCGACGTTGGTGTCATGCATCTGTGGTGCGGCGTGCTGTGGTGCGACGTTGGAGTCACACGTCGGTGTCACGCGTCTGTGGTGCGGCGTACCCCTTCTGTCACGTAAAAGTACACGACTGTCGACTGCGGTAGGTTATCCGTGACACTATCCACTCGTCATATCAAAGGCTGTGCTAGTAACAGACCTCTCTCACCGACGAGGGAAGACCATGGCGATGGCACGCAAAGTGTCAACATGGTGAAGATGGAATGACCATGGGCGAACGAGATGATCATCACACCTGGAGGAAGATGCGGACCAACTAATGCTTAAGTTTAGCAGAAGAATCTGTTTTCGAGATGATTTTGATGATTTTATTTGATTGAATCAAACTAGATATTGATATAGATCTAATGATGTTGATTGGTGCAAATGTTTTCAGGAAAAGTAGAAAATCTATTAATTGTGGTGAAGTAAGATAATAAGCTAAAATGACGTTCTGTAATGGAAATATTAGGGTTAATTTTGAACAACTACATTGGTTAGATGAATGGATAAAATGATAAAACTTTTCTGGAAAGACTTTATTAAATAGGGCATCAAATAGAGCTTACTAAAGTAAAACAATTGCCTGATTGAATTAAGTTAGAATGTTAATGTGTTATTCTGATAATGTTGTTATTTATGGGTAAATAGGAGTCTGTTCAATTGGAAAATGACAGTCTAACCTAAGGATGAACAAAATTATTCAGACGATACAAGTAGCGGAATTTACAATGAAATATATTAATCGAATTAAGGTATGTTTTTCTTGAAGTGACTGAGGGTCTGATTTTATGTCAGGAACAGTGATGGGAATAACGGCGTTATAAATAACGCCGTTACTAACGGCATTACTTTTTCCAGTAACGAGGAATCTAATTGATTACTCTTCTCATCTTAATAACGCCGTTACCGTTACTGCCAAAAAATGCGGCGCGTTACTATAACTGATGAAGCTGGGTTTTTTTTTCATCAGACCAACTAGATCTCTGAGCGAGAGGCAAATACTTTTTTTACTGTTCTTCCTTGGTTAGTGGGCAGAGCACGAGACAAGCGCATAAATGCTGACGATTGGCTGAGGTAGAGTAAAATGTCATTGTAAGCCAATCAGAGGTAGAGTTGGGCGAGTGTTCGAAAGCACGCATAGTAGTGATGGGCATTCAGCTCTTTTGACTCCGCTCACTGAAAAGAGCCGGCTCTTTTGGCTCACAAACGGCTCTTTAAATGACTTTGACTATAATATTCAATTTTTATTACATAATTATTTAATTTCTATAGGCTAAGTTTGTAAAAATAGAGTCGGCTCTTCAGATATGCGAGCCAGCTCCCGACGTTCACCTAAAAGAGCCGGCTCTTAGAGTCGGCTCATTCGCGAATCGCGAACGACCCATCAAAAGCTCATGAACGAGTCGATCCATCATCACTAACGCTCATTCGCGAACGACCCATCATCACTAACGGCTAACGCTCATGAATTGCGAACGACCCATCATAACGCATAGTCGGACAGGAAAGGACACACAAGGAACAACACAAGCCAGTCAGTCAACGAGAGACAGGTATGGCGACGAGCTTAACAAGCTTAATTTCATTTTGCCCAGTTGTGGCCTGTTGAGGGGCAATAAATATCAAAAGTTCCAAAACATCTATTGTGTTATTTGCATTGATCCACTATATAAACATAATATCTACATACATGGCATTTGATTGGAGGCTAGTCTCACTTTGTCCCACAGCAACATTTTTTTTTTTTTAGATGTGTCTACAATGTTTCATGTTTCTGTTAATAATGTATTGTATTAAGTGTCCATTTCATTATAATATTCAGATTTATCATAAATAATTGAACATGCACATGTATTTTAAGTTCCGTTAAAGAGGGGTAGAGGTGGGGTCACATTTGAGCATTTAAAATGTAATTTTACTTGAAAGTAACGCAATAGTTACTTTCTTAAGTAACTAGTTACTTTTAAAATTTGTAACTGAGTAACTAATTCAGTTACTTTTTGGAAGAAGTAACTAGTAACTGTAACTAATTACTTTTTAAAAGTAACTTGCCCAACACTGGTCAGGAATGCGATAACAGTGCTTATCCATTTAGCCCGGCTTCATATAAAAATTTACTTATCTGCTACAAGTTTTATTTTTATTTTCATTTATTTATCTTTTAAAATCTTCTTTCCAAAGTTCAAGTAGAGTGATCAGATACACGAAAATCAGACAATGAAGAGTATAACTGTGATGATATGACTTTAAAATTTGTTCTAATGCTTTTATTATTATGATTAGGTAATCTGAATTATAAAAAGGGAGGAATGTAGTGGAAATTTTAATATTGGCTGATGAATAATAGACATTGCAGTGAAATATTATGTGGTCTCTTTATGATATTCCTGAGTTGATCGAGAACAAAGGGCCCTGTTTCTTCTGTTGATATGTTGATACAGCTGGAGGGTGTGTGTGTGAGACAATCAGGAGATGATTGGGCAGTGACCTCTGACTTCAGAGGTGAGAAAACCCCTGGGGTTAGAAGGTCTTGGGGGTGGCCATAAAGCTATTGTTCCTCCTTTCTAAGCAAATGAATGACAAGAGATAAGAACACTATAAAGCTACTAGCAAAACCCTCCTTGTTGTCTCACTCCGCCTGCAGCTGGACTGTGGTTGGGACTGGGAACTATTCCTTGCAAGAAATAAATCTTTTAAAATACAATTTGGATTCTGGTGTCTCTTACGCTGTGATGCTGTTGTTAATTATTGATTTTGCCACATCAGTTACCAAACAGATAAGATAGGATTCTAAAGTTAGATCTTTCTGTAATATGCCCCCTGGCCTCTAAATTCCCCAGATCTCAATCCAATTGAGCATCTGTGGGATGTGCTGGACCAACAAGTTCGATCCACGGTGGCTCCACCTCGCAACCTACAGGACCTGAAGGATCTGCTTCTAACATTGTGCCAGATACCACAGGACACATTCAGGGGTCTTGTTGAGCCCATGCCTTAGCGGGTCGGCACCGTTTTGGCAGCACGCAGAGGACCAACAGCATATTAGGCAGGTGGTCATAAAGTTTTGGCTCATCTGTGTATTAAATGTCAAACAAATTCTGAAGTACCATTATTGTCAATGCGGTGCGTCTTCTTTGTGTTGTTGTCTATGGGAGCCCCATAAGTCTGCACCCATACAAGAGGGTCCACGATGGAGCTGAGCTTCTCTTTGTCAGGTTTAGGCAGCTGCTGGGCTGATATCACCTGAAACAAGACAAATATATGATTATGTTTTTAAAAAAGAAGAGGAAACCAGGAACATCCCTGCTTAAAAATCCAATATAGAGCTGGTCTAGCTGGTGGACAGCAAGAATTGTTCTCAAGCAAAACGGAGCTGGTGAAGCTGGTTCACCAGCATGGTCTTGCAGAGTTGAGTATGAGAAGGCCAGCTGTCTGTATGCAAGCAGTGTTTTGGGGACAAACATTGTTTTTGCTTGCATATTTCTATATGTAACAACTGAGAAAAAATCAGACACAATTATTTGTTATATTTAACAAATAATCTTTAAAACTCACTCTGGGATCTATGGTACCATCCCCCCAACAAGGGCAAGAAGGGTCTTGGTTACCATGATTACGATCAGATAAGTTGGTTTTATTGCTGTGTAGCGTCTGGACCAATCAGACACACACAAATTATTCATTATATTTAATGAATAATCCAGCAAACTCACTATCCCAACAAAGGTCTGTGAAACTTCCCCCAAATCAAGCTAACACACTGGCAGAACTCGGTATCCTGTTACAGGACACAGAAAGGCTGATAAGTTTTACGATCCAAAGGAATGTGCAGGGAATTGTGACTTAATTCTTGCTTAGAAGGAGAAATTAACCCTTTTTAATCCTATATATTCTATATATATAACCATTCTATATATATAACCATGTGATAAATGTATTAACATGTATCTAATTTTCCATCTCATGATTTTACTTTTATGTGGTTTGGCCTATGTCTTCATTCTCTCTGTAGCCACATTGAGATGTGCCTTAATTAGCTCAAATTATTTATAGGGAATTTTAATAATTAATCATGAAATATGATTAATATATTTGCATATTACAGTTATATTATCGAAATTGAAAACAGATCGATCGTATGTATGAATGGTAAATCATAACGAATTATAATTCCTCATTCATATATCAATGGTCTCATTACAGATCGATTATATGAGATAACTTTAAGGGAATTAATCAGTTATCAAACAATCGGTTTGTCCAGCAAACAGCCGTAAGATTAACTTACCAACTTCTCAACAAAGTTATCCCTTTTTATAAACTCCAAGAAATCTCAATGTTCCGGCCGTGAACATTAATTTTCTTGTGTTTATAAAATTTACGTTACTGATATAGTAACAACTTGTAAAGCTTTGTAGCTATGAGATATTCATTTCATTGACTTGTAAATGAGCACTTCAGGATCAATCAAGAATATGGTTTTAATAATTGAAACTACGGATACAGAATTCTACATTTGAACACAGGATGCATGTATGTACAGTTAAACAGTAACACTAACGAGACAGACGAATAACAAACAGGAGTGAGAGAGAGAGAGGTTGCGAGAGAGAAAGAGTGGAAGGGAGAGAGAGAGAGAGAGAGAGAGAGAGTAAGAAGATGAGAGATCTTCTGGTTTGGCAAAATTCATCACAGACAGAACCTTTTGAGACAACAAGAATCACAGATCTTAAACCTCGAAAGAATGGTAAACGGTTACTTGCACAGGTAAAGCTCTTTTGTGGTTGATGTGAAGAAAGCGTGTGTGTCTCTCTCTGTCCTCGTGTCACGAGTTCGGGTTCGTCCAGCGAGCGCGGCGTGTTTGAATGTCCTTGTAGGTGAAGCTTGCCAGTCTGGCTGTGTTCATTTTCTTCGCGAGAAGACATGAAAAGAGGAGACTTCGAAAAAGATAAAATAAACTTGAAGAAAACAAAAAGAGAAACGATGGATCATCACACTAAGGCGATGTCCAGACGCACGAGGAGTCACATGATGAAGCATCGAAGAGAGCGTTCAGGAAGAGAGTTTCAGGAAGAGTTTCAGAAGAATGAAGGGAAGTTCGGCGCGTCTCTTTAAGGACACTTAGGTTCACGCCCCTTCTGGCATGAAGGCACCAATCAGCTGGGAGAAAAGTGCCCGCGGAAGATTCCTCTTTGTCTTGTCAGGATCATTTATGATGGTATAACATTTTGTCATTCCTACCCGGAAAGCTTGTACAAACCGGACAATAGATTTTACAGTAATATCCTATGTATGACTGGTTCAGTCAAAACAAGACGGTCAAACAGCTACCAAAAATGGCAGGTTAAAAGTACAAGAACATAAAGTTACATTCATATGCAGAATTACAAGCATTTTAAAGTTGGTTAACACACAATAAAATTGTCAGTACTTCCAGTATGGCATGTGACGACATCTAAGCACAAAATGAATACATTTAAAACATTTAGAGGTACTTTTCTCTGAAAAGTTCCATGGCTGGTGTTTGTGTGTGTGGAATGCGTAATTGTCCGTCAGCACTCAGGCAGCATTGTGAATTGACTTACTCATGGCACAATGCTTTGTTTGTGGGGTGATCAAATCAAGGGAGACCCTGAGGGGCCAGACTCATGAGATCTCATCTCATGAGTCACATGTCCAGAGCTGGCTCAACTCATAAGCAAAGCATTTCGTTGTTCATTCATGAAAGAAAACGCTGCATGTGCGAATCAGAGTCAATGATTTAATCAATTTAAAACAATATCCCCTTTGTTTCACGAATGGAAGTTAAGGGGAACTTAACTAAATTAGAATCTAGTTAATTCACTCCAACATACCAGAGCTGGCTCGATTACCTATCTGATTATCACTACATTCCCCCCTTTGGCGGTTTGGCAGGACCCGTGTGGGCGGCCTCGTTAAACCGTCACATTGGTCAGATGGTAGGTAAGTCTTGAAATGGACTGGTAAATGGACTGCATTTATATAGCGCTTTCACAGACCCAATGGCCACCAAAGCGCTTTACAATTTGCCTCACATTCACCCATTCACTCACTCATTCATACACCGATGGGCGACGGCAGCCATGCAAGGCGCCATCCAGCTCGTCGGGAGCAGCTGGGGTTAGGTGTCTTGCTCATGGACACCTCGACAGACCTCGACACTTGGTCAGGTGGAACCGAGGATTGAACCACCAACCTTCCGGTTTGTAGACAACCAACATGAACCACTGAGCCACTGCCGCCCAAGGTAGGATGGCAGGTGGAACCTGATGGTAGGATAGCAGGTGGATCATGATGGGAGGATAGCAGGTGGATCATGATGGTAGGATGGCAGGTGGATCGTGATGGTAGGATGGCACCTTTCGGTACTTGAATCCACACGCTCTGGTTAAGCAAGGTGACACGGGTGGCAGTGTCATGTTGGTTGTAAGTGAGAGTAGCTGTTCGCACGGGAGTGTTGACGGGCCATCTGTCACCTACAGTCTCCGCTTGTATCTCGGTGACTTGCGTGCGAGGCTTGGCTTCCGCAAGGCAGCGTGTGTCGCTGATCATAGCTGGCAAACCGCAGATTCCGTCAGTGTTGTCTCTGAGGAAGGGTTTGCTAGGGCAGAGATAGTGAATGTCTTTGGTCGTGGGCTGCACATGTGGGGCCAGGTGCAGCGGTGTGTCGCTGGTCATGTGGTAGGCCACCCCGTCCGGGGCTGTGACCAGCGGAGTTTGAGCAAAGTCTTTCTGGAAGACAGTAAACAGCTGTTTCATGGATTTTACTGTCTGGTTCAGCAGAACGCTGTGAATGTTGAGAATTACCACAGTTCCCATCAATGTCTTTTCGATGGTCTGCAGGGATGCACTCTGTGTTGTGAGTTGCAGTCTTAGCTGTGGGATCTCAGTCCGGATTTCAGTCACATGGTTCACTGCGTTGGCACTGGGCATACCAATGCTTAACAGAGTTCTGACAGCAGCGGCGGCTCCGAGCAAAGCTCCCAGGAACCGTTTGGAGCGGCGGTTGTGTCCACCTAACTCCGCTAGTGTGATAGTCAATTTCTCGAGTTGGTTGAGCATGTGCTCGACGTTGGCCTTGGCGTGAGCGAGGGAGTCCTCTGTCCATCGGGCACGGGTCCAGCTGTATTGGGCTACTGTGCTGGGGTGAGGTGCTCTGTGGACGTTGCGGGGGTTGCGTCGAACACACACTTTCTGGGTGTGGGTCCTGCAGTTGGTGATCAGGAGTTGTTGTCCTCTCCGGACGATGCCTGCTGCCGGACCTGGTGAGATGTCCGATTGCGGCTGTCCTCTGGTTGGCTGGAGGCACAGGCATCGCGAACCACAGCAGCATCCTGGTAAAAGTGAAAGAGAGAGAGAAAGAGAAAGGGAGGAAAAATTTCAGCGAGTGTCGTCCTCGGTTGGCTCGGACAGTCTTTTCGCTTTGAGGATGCCGGTATGCCACTTGCTTCGGTGTCTTGCAAGTGTCTCTGGTGCTGAGCTGTGCAGCACGTGGTGCGTCCAGGGCGTACATTGGCATGACCCCCCTTTTGCACTGTGGCATCACAAGCTTTGGCGCAGTGATGGCATCAGGTGCAGAACGCTGAATGTTGTCCTGTGCACGCAGCATGTGCTTGTTGACGTAGGTTGTCAGGGGCACTGGTTGTCGCTGGGTGCAGACGGCTTCGTGGGTGGTTGGAGGGGTATGAGAGGTGGTTTCTCATAGTGTCCATTGTTTTGTCACAGTCTTTGGTAGCTAGAAGGTTAAGGTCAGGTGAAGCAGGGGCTCTGTGACATTTGGTCATACTTGTGGTGAGAGACTAATGCATGACCCTAAAAGTTCAGAACCACGGTTTAATGGGTTCGCTAGATATGTAGCATAAAGTTAGGTGTTTCATGTGTATCTAGCTAGTGATGTGTATCTAGCTAGTGATGTGTCTCTTGTATCTTTATCATCTTAGCTGTGGATGTTGGGAGGCTAAGACTTATGTGGTTCCGGGAGTATTTCCTGGAAAGGGCATAGCCGAGATGAAATAAATGACTTAAGATGGTTCGTATGACTAAATTATTTCTCTGGACGTAAGTAGTGGTTCACTACGGCTTGACGAAGTGAATGTTGGGGAGAAAAAGGACAGCTTTTCTATTTAAATTAAGCCTATTATCAATCCTTTGGACTATAGTTGTGCCCTAGTAAATTGTTGAAGTTACTTGTGTTGCAGGGTCACAAAAATGAGTGCACTTGT